AAATGAGTGCTTTTCCGCAATCGTTACTTACGAGTACAAGGGATGCTACCAAATAGTCCTTATGCTCATGTTATGATTAAGAATAAACATTTACGAAGTAATATACAGTATGTAGGTATCCGTTCTGTTATCCCTGAAACACAGTTTTCTATTGGTAGTTTCCGATGCTAGTTTTCAACCTGATAGCCGCGGTTGCTGCCAGAGCTCACAGGTCTCCTTTGTGGAATCTGTATCTGTGAAGATTGACTTAAAACTTTTAAGTGAAGAAATTCAGCTACGTTTATCATCTTGTAGAGCAGGTGGAACTCAAAATTTGGGTGGATCTTTAGAGAAACGGTTTCTATAGCAGGATTTCTCGCTGCCAAGCTTTCGAGGAGTCTTTGCAGCTAAAATCGATGGATCACTGAGTAGGTTTTAGAGGAAAGAAATCCTCGGCAATGAGTTAGAGTTTCCATCACTCGCATATCCTCAAAATGACTCTTATGAGAGTCCTAGGACTCCTTATAAAAAATTAAGAGCTTAACGGTTAATATGCAATGCGATACTATTTCGGGCTCTCGGAATCACTGCACAAATATATCCGAACGAGAGAAAACCTCCGACAAACGTAGATTGGACCATAAGAACTTATGTTTTACTTATGTTTACTTTAATCAATTGACATAAACATAGATTATTTTCCTTAGATTAAAGTAAGATTTTGAATATGAGTTTCGGGACGGGAGGAGCTCGAAGTTATTCGAGAGGTCTCAAATTTTCAAATCTGATGGAACGCAAATTATACAGATAATACAGTGATACAAAAAATGAAATTTTTCGCTTTTCAATATACTTACCAACACCATGCTGACTTCGGAACAGTTTTTATAAGCTTCCGAATAAACGGTCCCACTTGTACAATCTAAATAAAGAGAGGGCATTGTTATCGACAGACGCCTAATTGCAGGCATAATTCCTCGATCAATAGCAGAACCCCATATGAACTTAACATTTTAAGTCCAGTCCAGTTCAGTTCATGGACTTAAAGAACCTAGTTGACTCTAGTTCGAGACGAACGATTGAGTAAACAGTTTAATCGACTTTGTAAATACTTGACAATAACATGTCTAATGGTGCCTAGTGATTTTCATTGATAAGGTTCACGTAAAACTGAGTGCAGCTTTTTAAACGAGAGTAAAAAGCTACTGAACCACTACTTCCTTCACATTGTACCGCGCACCGCTACAAGTTACATAGCGCGAAATTCTATTCGATTTGAGGTCCTTGTTTCTGTTTAGCCTGTGTAGCTAGACAACCGTATTCATGCCCTTCACAATATGGACAACAATAGTTCTCACAAAAGTTGTTCTCTTAGAAATGTACGTCTTTCAGAAATCTTTAGCAAAAAAGATCAATTTACGCATTAGAAAATTTGGTGCTTGCTCCGCGCTGAACCAAATTGGATAAAAATTGGACAAAAACCACGTTGATTATGTCGACGCCAAAAAAGAAGTGAAGGCGTAATTATAAGGAAACGGCTATCGGATTCACAGACAAATTTTGCATTTGGCGCCCAATTTTTATCCAATTGGTTCAGCGTGGAGCAAGCACCAAATTTTCTAATGGTTACGTTTTTAATTTTTTCCAGGAAACATATTCCAGGAAACATATACTACGACAAAATTCAGTGTGGCCGATGACCTACAGTAAGTTTAATTAGTAGAATATTCAAAGCAACTACATATCAGTCCTGAGACTTCCTTGATAACCAATGTCACACCTAAAGTGTTGAAAATCAATTTCTGGCTTGGCTCGACTATGAAGCGAGCGCTTTGGGTTACTTCCTCATGATAAGAACAAGTATATCCTCATTCGTAACTCAGTATAGTCATTCTTTAAAGATGAATTTTAAACGCATTTTGCTTACGAAAATGTGTGTGAAAGTCTCCTCTGTCGAACACCAGCGTCCCTCCACTGCTACAGTTTCATGGGAATTCCTCAAACTAGCATAATTCGACACATTCAAAGGTATTGAGACTGAAAATAAACATCGCCACTCGACTCAGCATGGCCGATCACCCTTATTTAGATCCATTTAGGATCACCCAAGGTCAATTGGCCGAAATCGGGGCTCTCGGGAAAATGCTCATAGCTCCTGAATCGTATAGACAGAGAGTTGCGACTAGTCTAGAATTGTAGATCTTGGTTTGGGCTATCGATTGCACTGTTTGGATATCCAAATTCATTGAACGGTCTAGGAACGGCGGTCAAGTAGACTTTGCATCGAAAGGCTTACCATAATAAACCTTATCTGGAAGCCTAGTTTTTGAATACGCTTACGTCCCACGATGTTCTTTATCCAACGGTGAAAACCGCATTTATCTATCAGTTTTCGTTCAAATGTGATACGCATTCTGCCGAGCCGCTTCGTTATCAGAAAAGGATGATAATAAAAGGTATATTAGGTGATTATAAGTTCTTTAAAACATAGAAGACACGCCGAAGAAATCCATTGAAAAGAGAAATAGTTTTATAAATGTATTCATTGACTGTTGAAACGGTTTAGGATAATCACATGAAGAAGAAAAAAGAACCGCTAATTAGTCCGCTGAAATGACTACAAGCCTCTTTATAATATTTACTGCTTCTTCTATTTTATGTATTTTTTGCCTAAAGGATGGTTTCCTCTGGTTCAGATGTTTTTGACGCTACAGAATTCCAGCGAAATTAATGCTTGAAATCCGCTCGTTAATCCAAATCAGTAGTTGGAAATGTCTACATTGTTTATCGACACCGCACACACACAACACAATTGTAACAATTGCATTCTAGTTTAGATTGGGACCTAGCTACATAGCGTAAATCCTAGGAGCCGCCTTTCTTAAAACATTCTTCGTGAAACCTGGGACTGTAACCGTTCACGTTGGTGTGGCAAAAATTTCAACGAGAACGGGAACGGTTCTGTTGTTGATGTTCTAAACTCTCAACTACATATCATCGGTGGACGTTCGGAACTGTCAACGTAAAATATTATGTCGTTATATTGGAGTTGGTATAAGTAGAGAGACACACTACTAATCATCTGAAGTAGCTTCTCGGAAGGCAGCATAGTTGAAGAAAGGAGGCAAAAGCGGAAAAAACAGGACAATTTCTTGAACATTTTGGGAGACAAGAGATTTTCACCGAATCACTCTTTCCTGAAAAATGACGATATCACTAATTTAAGAACCTTAGTTCCGTGGATTCTGACTGGTAAAAATACCGCTGACAGTTCAGAACGTCAACTGATGAATTACCGTTGACAGTTGAGAACGAAAACCACCACGGCTGCGTCCTTAGTAAAAGCCCAAAACCTTTCTACAAAACTTCAGAAAAAGTGCCTTTACCATCGTTCACAGAAACACCGCAAATACGCCTTCAGAAATGGAACAAAAGCGATATATTTACTAGCAAATTCCTTCGCCAGCATCCAGTAAAACCCCTGCTCGATCAAATCACACCACCAAAAACTTCTAAAACTGCGTTCTACCTCCATTTCTACACTGTACCATAAACCGAAGTATAAATACAAAGTTCATTAAAATAACACATCATGACAACAATGCCACGTTTCAACGCAAAACATGATTCGTCCTGATACGTTAACAAAGAATTCATTATATACTGGAAAGTACTTTTAAAACACGTATAAACAGAGGAAAAACTGCATGACTTCACGATATATTTTGCTGTCATATAGGTTCTGCTCTTTCTGGTGTCGCATAACTAAAAGAAAGGGAGAATCTTTACCTGCAAATTATATTTTGTCACTTTGATTATAATATCAAACTTTCGTTCATATGTAAGAAAGCTCGCTTAAAGCTGAATCTGTAGAACGATATACGAAAATCTGCAATGATTTAGCAGTATGAAAGAATATCAGAAACCTCATGCAAATAAAATATTATGAGCTTACACAAGTCCTGCCATTAAATATTCATAGCCAAATAGATCTTCTTGTAAGCTGCAACTGGATAAAACAAAGAGCTTTCATATATTTGTACACTATTATCTTTTGGTTTAAAACGTTTTCTACATAATTTTCGTAAGCAGAACTGTTACCTTTACAAAATGGTATATATATATAATAATACGTCGTTGAGATATCTGTATATGCTTGTAAGTCAAATGTATGCTTTAAAAACTTATACAATTACACGCCAAATTAGCTCGCATCACTGGGATTGGCGGAAAACGCAGAAGAGTAAAATGTCGACAAAAAAGTAGGAAAAGGTCGAAAAGAGAAATAGCGAATGTTTAATCAATGAGAAGGAAAATGTCGATCGCGAAACAGTGTTGGATAAGAAAGAGAATTAACAGGAAAACATCGAAAGGATAATAGCGAAAGGCGAATGTAGATGAAAGATGTGTATATCTTATGTTATTTTATCTTACAGTTGTTATTGGTTGTTACTAGAACAGAATCATTCCTTTATCTTCATCGACTGAACTTTCTCCATCGAGGGCGATCGTCTGTGTAGACAGTATTTAATCAAGTCATTCGACGACTTTACATTAGAGAACTAGCAAATAAGGAGTTATCTCTTTCTTCAAAAGATATCGCAATGGAGTCATTGCCACATATGTAACTATAGAAGAAAATAGATTTTTTTCTCTTGCGTTCGCTGCCTACTTTGATACGGAACGGAAAGTTTACAGTGAGGGTGAGGGGTAAAAATGAAATCAATGCAAAGCAGCTATTACATGGCTTTGGATTGTTACTCGCTGGACCAAAAAAATGAGATCAGGAACTGACATTTACGTCCATTTTTCTTTTCTCTGTGATTTAATTGGAATTTTTTTTATCATCTAGTATAATAACAATAAAAATATCTCTCGACATTTTCCCAAATCTTTTCCTTTCGACCTTTTCCTGCTGACCATCTTTCCAATTCGATATTATGTCTTTCGGTGTTTTCTATGTATATCTTTTCCTCTTCGACGTTTTCCTACTTTTTTTTCGACATTTTCCCTTTCTGCGTTTAACACCAACCCCGCATCATTAATGTCATCGAAACTGGACTGCTGACATAGATGCAACCTAATAAAATCCTCATCTCCCCCTCCTGACGAACATTTAACTCACTGATTGCTGTGGTGGTTGTTACCCGGGTACTGGTAGATGCCCTGGTTGTTACGGGGGTACTGGTAGATGTCGTGGTTGTTACACGGATACTGGTAGATGTCGAGATTGTTAACAGGGCACTCGTAGAAGCTTCGGGATTTGTGCCGAAGGTCGTAGTACTCAAAGTGCTAACCTGAATTATCGTGCGGGTCGTCAATGACGTTGTCTGAGTGACACTTAATGCGAACGACTCGTCAACCGTCGCGATACTCTCATGATTTATTGTTGCAGTTGTCAGTGGTGGGTTAGCGCTCTTGCTTGTGGCTGAATCGTCTTGAAACGACGTGGTGACCTGGCTTATAACTTTGTCGGTATTAAGGACCACTGATGTGTGAGTAACAGTTGCGAATGTCGATGACTCGCCAGACATATCGTCAAACATCATAGTACTCGAAGTATGTTCTTGAATTGTGATTGCGGTTGTCAATGGCGACTTCGAGCTGCTACTTGTCTCTGAAACACTTGAGTGTAGTGTAGTTGAATCCTTTAGTGTTGTTTCATCCACTGTTGTGAAACTTTACAAAAGAGAAACGTTTAAAAATTTTATACAGATAACTTTGAGCACCTACTTACAGTGTGATACATAAATTATCAATGGCAAACTGCGTTTCGTTGTATGATTGGAGATCGAAATTCGGATATATAGTGTCGCCATACGAACGAAATGTGATGGTGTCGAGGTCGGTCCAATTGTGAAAAATAACTTGTGACATCTCGGTTCCACTTAACGTGACAACTTGAGAGTATAGTGCTGTGCCTTTGTATGAGCCAGTGATATTCAAATGCAGATTCTCGTACGAAATGGCTGTGGCTAGCATAGAACTAATTGTAAATGTATTTGTATTATTTGTATAAATTGTGGCCGCTGCTTCGGTATTATGTTGTCTATTGAACGCCACATATTCCCCACTAGACAGCGCTGTGAAAAAACTACTTTGGTTATAAAAGTTTTGAATAAAATCTGTGGTGTATACGAAATAAATATTAAACCAGTTTAACCCTTCATAACTAATGATCATTGGCGACTCGGTCGAGTTCAAAGTGCTACTTGTAGCTGAAAACTGTGGAGATGAAAGAGTAGTGGTAATCTGGCTAAGAAATTGCTCGGTAACACTTGAGAATGTCGATGACTGGCCAAACACATCGTCGAAAGTAATCAACGTATCATTGCAGACTATGAAATAAAAGTAAAATATTTGAGTTGAGTCGAGAGTATGGTAAAGAAGTTAATAGAAGTTGCAAACCAACCATCTTTGAAACTTTTTCAACAGTTCTTTCTGCGTGTGAAAAGTTCCGCTCACATCTTCGATATTGCACAGCGAAAACGGCAGCTCTCTATCTCATTCCTATCAGAAGTTATTCGAAAAATAGTGACGGACACTGCTTCTTGGTACGAATAATAGAACACGACAATACAAGGAAAAGCAACAGCAGATAACCTAAGTTAAGATACGGCACCATTAGGAATGAAAATAACTTTGCCAGAAAAAACCCGGTATTCCGCAAGTTATTTGCCGCGAAAAGCGAATGTTTCTACTATACACAGCGTGGTTGATTACCTATAGTCCATGACATTTCGAGATTAAGAAAGAGCAACGACCCAGCAAAGAGTCAATTTACTCACTGATTGGTGTGCTGGTTACTAACGGAGGACTGCTAGATACTACATCATCCGTGTCAACGATCACATTACTCTCAGTGCTATCTTCAGTTATTACTATAGTTGATACTGCCGTGTCCAAACTGCTACTTGTATCTGTACCATCTTGAAACAAAACAGTACGCTGACTAGCAGCTTGTTCGGTATCAAAGACCACGGATGTCTGAGTAACAGCTGAGAATGTCGTTGACTCGCCAGACATATCGTCAAACATCATAGTACTCGAGGTAGACTCTTGAATTGTGATTGCGGTTGTCAATGGCGAGTTCGAGCTGCTACTTGTATCTGTACCATCTTGAAACAAAACTGTAAGCTGACTAGCAGCTAATTCGGTAATTGCTGTTGTCAAAATCAAGGCGGAAGTTGTACCAGTGGTGAAATAATCTAGAAACGAGGAAGCAGTGCTTATCTGGCTTATAAATTCGTCAGTATCATCGACCACTGATGTCTGCGTAACAGTTGATATTCTCGATGACCCGCCAAAAACACCGTCAAACATCGCAGTACTCTCAGTACTGTCATTTATTATTATTGTGGTTGTCAATCCCGTGTTCGAGCTGCTACTAGTGTCCGAACCATCTTGACACAAAACAGCAGTGGTAAGGTGACTAGTAGATTGCTCCGTATCAACCACTAGTGCTGTCTCAGCTACACTGGATAACGTCGACGACTGTCTAAACACCTGGTCCGGCATCACACTACCCGCAGTAGTATCTTGATTAGTGACTGCGCTTGCCAAAAGCAAGCCGGAAGTAGTAACAGTGGTGAAATAAGCTAGAAATGTCGATGACCGACCAAAAACACCGTCAGACATCGCAGTGCTCTCGGTACTATCATTTATTATTATTGTGGTTGTCAATCGCGTGTTCGAGTTACTGCTTGTACCTGAAGTATCTTGAAACAAAACCGCAGTGGTAAGCTGACTAGCCGGTTGTTCGGTATCAAAGAAAACTGATGTCTGAGTAACAGTTGAGAATGTCGATGAGTCGCCAGACATATCGTCAAACATCATAGTACTCGAGGTAGACTCTTGAATTGTGATTGGGGTTGTCAATGGCGAGTTCGAGCTGCTACTTGTATCTGAACTATCTTGAAACAAAACAGCAGTGGTAAACTGACTAGCCGATTGTTCGGTATCAAAGACCACGGATGTCTGAGTAACAGTTGAGAATGTCGATGACTCGCCAGACATATCGTCAAATATCATAGCACTCGCAGTATAGTCTTGAATTTTGATTGTCGTGGTGAATGGCAAGTCCGAAGTGGTATTAGTGCTGAAATAATCTAGAAACGAAGAAGGAGTGCTTATCTGGCTTATAAATTCGTCAGTATCATCGACCACTGATGTTTGAATAACAGTTGATATTGTTGTAGATATAAAAGCTGATGAGTCGCCAAACACACCGTCAAACATCGTAGTACTCTGAGTACTATGATTTATTATTATTGTGGTTGTCAATCCCGTGTTCGAGCTGCTACTTGTATCTGAACTATCTTGAAACAAAACAACAGTGGTAAGCTGACTAGCCGATTGTTCATTATCAACGACTACTGCTGGCTGAGTTACACTAGATAACGTCGAGGACTGGGTAAACACCTGGTCCAGCATCATACTGCTCGCAGTAGTATCGTGATTTGTAATTGCGGTTGTGAATAGCAAATCGGAAGTGGTACTAGTGGTGAAATAATCTAGAAACGAAGAAGCAGTGCTGGTCTGGCTATGAGATATGTCGGCATCATCGAAGAATGATGTTTCAATAGGACTGGACAAGATCGCCGCTTTGCCAAACACCTCGCCCAACATCACACTACTCCCAGTACTATCTTGAATTATGATTGCGGTTATCAATGGCGAGCTGCTGGTAGTAGTATCTGAAACATCTTTAGATAAAAGAGTAGTGCTGACCTGGGACGGAGATACCCGATTATCATCGAAGAATGATGTTTCAGTAACAGGGGCGAATGCCGACGGCTCGCCAAACGTATCGTCAATCCTGGTGCTTTCGGTACTGACTTCAGTTATCGTGCGGGTTGTTAGCGCTGAGTTCGAGCTCCTGCCACTATCAGGGGCATCTTGAAACAAAAGAGGAGTGGTGAACTTGCTGAAAGATGGCTCGGTACCAACCACCACTGATGTCTGAGTAACACTTGACAACATCGACGACAGGCTAAACATCTTGTCCAACATCGCACTACCCAAAGTACTGTGTAAATTTATATTTTCTGTTGTCAGTGGCGTGCTGGTGCTTGTATATGAAAGCGGTTCAGACGAGAGTGCGGTGCTAGTGCGTCCATAAGATGCCTTGGGATCGTCGAAGGATGATGGTTCAGTAAAACTGGAGAAGGGGGGCGACTCTCCAGTAACATCATCAGGCATGGCAGTACTCTCAGTACTATCTCGAATTATTACTGCCGTTGTCAATGGTGAGTTCGAGCTGCTACTAGTATCATTGGGAGACGTAATGGCAGTGCTGATCTGGCTAGGAGATGTCTCGGTATCATCGATCACTAATGTTTCGGTGAAACTTGTGTAAATCGATGACCCGCCAATGATGTCCAGAATCATCGTAGTGCTCTTAGTACTAACTTCAGTCGTCGTGCGCGTTGTCAGTGGCGAGTTGTAGTTGCTGTTTCTATCTGAAAGTTGTTCAAAGAGTGCAGTGCTAATCTGGCCACGAGCTGCATCGGCATCATCGAAGAATACCATTTCAGTAAAAGTGGACAAGGTCGGCGACTCGCGAATCACATAGTCAGACATCGCAGTACTGTCAGTACTATCATATATTTTTACTGAAGTTGTCAACGGCGAGTTCGAAGCGTTGCTTGCGGCTGAATCGTCTTGAAACGAATTAGTAGCGGTGACCTGGCTTATAAATTTGTCTGTATGAAGGACCACTGATGTCTGAGTAACAGCTGAGAATGTCGATGACTCGCCAGACATATCGTCAAACATCATAGTACTCGAAGTAGAGTCTTGAATTGTGATTGCGGTTTTCAATGGCGACTTCGAGCTGCTACTAGTATCTGAAACATCTTGAGACGAAAGGGTAGTGGTAACCTGGCTAAGAGCTTGCGAGATGTCATCGAACAATGATGTTTTAGTAGTATCTAGCACCGTAGTGTGCATCATAGTGGGAATTATGTGATGGTCTAACGTCGAGACAAGCGTTGTTAAGCTTGAGTGTAGTGTAGTTGAATCCTTTAGTGTTGTTTCATCCACTGTTGTGAAACTTTACAAAAGAGAAACGTTTAAAAATTTTATACAGATAACTTTGAGCACCTACTTACAGTGTGATACATAAATTATCAATGGCAAACTGCGTTTCGTTGTATGATTGGAGATCGAAATTCGGATATATAGTGTCGCCATACGAACGAAATGTGATGGTGTCGAGGTCGGTCCAATTGTGAAAAATAACTTGTGACATCTCGGTTCCACTTAACGTGACAACTTGAGAGTATAGTGCTGTGCCTTTGTATGAGCCAGTGATATTCAAATGCAGATTCTCGTACGAAATGGCTGTGGCTAGCATAGAACTAATTGTAAATGTATTTGTATTATTTGTATAAATTGTGGCCGCTGCTTCGGTATTATGTTGTCTATTGAACGCCACATATTCCCCACTAGACAGCGCTGTGAAAAAACTACTTTGGTTATAAAAGTTTTGAATAAAATCTGTGGTGTATACGAAATAAATATTAAACCAGTTTAACCCTTCATAACTAATGATCATTGGCGACTCGGTCGAGTTCAAAGTGCTACTTGTAGCTGAAAACTGTGGAGATGAAAGAGTAGTGGTAATCTGGCTAAGAAATTGCTCGGTAACACTTGAGAATGTCGATGACTGGCCAAACACATCGTCGAAAGTAATCAACGTATCATTGCAGACTATGAAATAAAAGTAAAATATTTGTCATGTTTCGAGCTAATCGCGAATTTGCATAGTTTCGTTGCTCGAAATGAAGATTAAATGGTAAAACCATTGTCTCATTAGCATTTGTTAGGGATGCCGCGTTTTTTTGTTATGTAGTTGATTTTCAGAACATTTTACATTTTGTAAGTGGCTGATGGACGGATGGTCGAGCTGTTTACCTGAGTTATTTGCTATTACTTCAATATTGAGTACGATTAATATTAACAGACATTTGAAAGCATGGATGGTTGAGATTCGTAGTGACATTGAAACGTCAGTAACAGTCATTTATTAACTAATCAAGCACGTATTTCAGTTTTCGTTGTTCATGAAGTAACAGCTTGAAATAGACAGAAATTAGATAAACAGCACATTTAGCATGCTTGATTCAAGTGGGATGATTTAGTACAGGTGAAAAGGTTGGGGTTTCCGTAGAGTCATTATAGTTAGGAGCTGTGGGTTTTTATATATTTCGTGCAGATGATGTTCTGCCTAAAGCTTCAGCCTCTTTCATTCTCTTTTTCTTGGAAGTAGCTTCGGATTTTCAAAAAAGAATAGATTGATATCTGAATAAAGTCATTATTGGACACTCTCAGTCAATGGGAATTAATTCGTATTAAGTTTCATAAGAACAACAAAAAGTGTTCTGAATCTTACAGTTATTGTACGAGAGGCATGTCAATACATGCTCAATGACCATGTCCGATTTTTTCAAACTAATTCCATTGTGTAGAACATGTGCGAAAACCTATAAATCCACGTTTTTAGCCTCAGTGCGCTCTACCTTCCTGGTATATACGATTTGTTTCAGAAGTACGAAATCCGACCACTTACCTTAGGAAGAAACGTAAATTCTTGATTTCCCGGAAACTATTAGAAATGGAACCACGATCTTTTCAGGGTATATGGTACTCAATGTCTACTATATAATGGCATACAAATATTAGATATCTCTTTGATTCATCACGTTGCCATAAGGACGAAACAGAGTTCCGTGACGCATTTTTGTGACGTACAGTTCTCCGAGATTTCCACCTACAATCGAGTCGGACTAGTTGCGATGGATAGTACTACCAGCGTACTGATCATGCCGCTCTGGTCAGAAATTTTTTACCAGTCGGTCGGCCTGCCGGTCGAAAGAAAATTAATTTCACCGTCCGGTCGAGAAACGAAATTGTTTTCGTCTGAAAAATTAGTACTTTGTCGAAAGCGAATTTGCTAACCTAAGTAAAGCAAACATTTTCATATTTTCGATTAAGAAAGTTAGTTTGGTTTTCTCTTTTTGTCAACAGTCTTCGAGAGCAGGACTGGGAATCTCTGCTATGTGAATATGCCGTTCGTTTTTCTTTCTTATTCATGTTTGTTGCACTACTATCGGTGCTACTACAGAAGGTCGATGATTACTTTTTGAATAACTAAAACTGAATAAAAGATGGAGGCTTGCGATTTTCATCATTTGCTACCCAAGGTCTGTTGTATAAGCAAAAACAAAGGACGAGAACGTATAAGGTCAGAAATCGGGCCACTCTCTTTTCAGAGTTAAAATGGGTTCCCATCAGCGAAAAACGCCACGCAATTCAATAACAGATGAAAACAGATACATTTGTGTTCACTAAAACGACTTGTTTTCCCCACAACATCGTTCCCATCGGTGAATTAAAAAAAACCTACTTGATCAGTACACTGGTAATACTATCCATTGCAACTAGTCCGACTCGATTCTAGGTGGAAATCTCGGAGAACTGTACTTCACAAAAATTTCCCCTTTGTACATACAATTACCATTCACTACGCGTTCGAAATTTGCGCAAGCTGATTTATAATATTTAAGTTACGGAAATTTTTCGACATTATAATTACAGAATATCGTTGAAAACCGTTCTACACACTCTCGATACATAAAGCCTTGAAACTGTTCATGAACCAAAAAATGATTTTATCATGTTTGCTTGTCGACAAAACTACAAAACTCAGCCTATAGAGAGGGGTGGTGGACGTCGTGCACAATTTGTGTTCGCTGCGAACTCATTTTTCTGTAACTGTTTTTTTACCAGGTATCTTAAGAATTTAGGCTATCGTGCAACTACTTTTCGAACTCGCTCCCAATCTCGCCCCTCACCTCATAAAGTAGACGTCTAAAGGATTACGGTTAACTACTTGGGAGTTCGATTGAGAATGATTAGATATTAATGTAACATATGTAGAAGCAAGATCTTGAGAAACTAAGTGTCATCCTTTCCATCGTATTTTCTTTATCTGATGAATATCATAAGTATCCTAAATAAAGTCATCTTAGCCTACAGCAAAAAAAGGAAAATAAAATATCATCAGAAGATTTTGGTAATCGTTACCGGTTTTTGCTTTGTTTAGTAGAAGCACTGTGGTTCGTCGTGAAAGAGCCCGCTATCCTGAAAATTTCCAGGATTTGTCGATGTTCCCTAATTGTATACTTTTTGCTTGAAGCATAAACAGCAGTGATAATGAAATTAAAGCGCTGTTGTGCCAAAAGTACGAGACGACGGGTCGAAAGCAATTTTTTTATGATTGTTACTTAAAAGCAAATGTTGAAAATCCAATGTTGTCGTATTAATATAGTATATAAACCGAACGAGGCCAGGTAGAAGTGCAACTGTGGTAAAAAATAGTAGGTATGGATTATGAGATAAATACAATTTGAAATATTTGGTAATCCAATATT